GGGAGGAGTCGACCCAAAAACCGGGAGGAGTCTACCCAAAAACCGGGAGGAGTCGACCCAAGAACCGGGAGGAGTCGACCCAAAAACCGGGAGGAGTCGACCCAAGAACCGGGAGGAGTCGACCCAAAAACCGGGAGGAGTCGACCCAAAAACCGGGAGGAGTCGACCCAAGAACCGGGAGGAGTCGACCCAAAAACCGGGAGTCGACCCAAAAACCGGGAAGAGTCTACCCAAAAACCGGGAGGAGTCTACCCAAAAACCGGGAGGAGTCGACCCAAGAACCGGGAAGAGTCTACCCAAAAACCGGGAGGAGTCGACCCAAAAACCGGGAGGAGTCGACCCAAGAACCGGGAGGAGTCGACCCAAAAACCGGGAGGAGTCGACCCAAAAACCGGGAGGAGTCGACCCAAGAACCGGGAGGAGTCGACCCAAAAACCGGGAGTCTACCCAAAAACCGGGAGGAGTCGACCCAAGAACCGGGAGGAGTCGACCCAAAAACCGGGAGGAGTCGACCCAAGAACCGGGAAGAGTCTACCCAAAAACCGGGAGGAGTCGACCCAAGAACCGGGAGGAGTCGACCCAAGAACCGGGAGGAGTCTACCCAAAAACCGGGAGGAGTCGACCCAAGAACCGGGAGGAGTCGACCCAAAAACCGGGAGGAGTCGACCCAAGAACCGGGAGGAGTCGACCCAAAAACCGGGAGGAGTCTACCCAAAAACCGGGAGGAGTCGACCCAAGAACCGGGAGGAGTCGACCCAAAAACCGGGAGGAGTCGACCCAAGAACCGGGAGGAGTCGACCCAAAAACCGGGAGGAGTCGACCCAAAAACCGGGAGGAGTCGACCCAAGAACCGGGAGGAGTCGACCCAAAAACCGGGAGTCGACCCAAAAACCGGGAAGAGTCTACCCAAAAACCGGGAGGAGTCTACCCAAAAACCGGGAGGAGTCGACCCAAGAACCGGGAAGAGTCTACCAAAAGCCAGAGGAGTCTACCCAAAAACCGGGAGGAGTCGACCAAGAGCCGGGAGGAGTCGACCCAAAAACCGGGAGGAGTCTACCCAAAAACCGGGAGGAGTCGACCCAAGAACCGGGAGGAGTCGACCCAAAAACCGGGAGGAGTCGACCCAAAAACCGGGAGGAGTCGACCCAAAAACCGGGAGGAGTCGACCCAAGAACCGGGAGGAGTCGACCCAAGAACCGGGAGGAGTCGACCCAAAAACCGGGAGGAGTCTACCCAAAAACCGGGAGGAGTCGACCCAAGAACCGGGAGGAGTCGACCCAAAAACCGGGAGGAGTCGACCCAAAAACCGGGAAGAGTCTACCCAAAAACCGGGAGGAGTCGACCCAAGAACCGGGAGGAGTCGACCCAAAAACCGGGAGGAGTCTACCCAAAAACCGGGAGGAGTCGACTCAAGAACCGGGAGGAGTCGACCCAAAAACCGGGAGGAGTCGACCCAAAAACCGGGAGGAGTCGACCCAAAAACCGGGAGGAGTCGACCCAAGAACCGGGAGGAGTCGACCCAAAAACCGGGAGGAGTCTACCCAAAAACCGGGAGGAGTCTACCCAAAAACCGGGAGGAGTCGACCCAAGAACCGGGAGGAGTCTGCCCAAAAACCGGGAGGAGTCGGAGTGTACTTGTTACAAAACCGGGAGGAGTCTAGCCAAAAGTTTGTGGGCAGGTTTTTTTTTGGAGGGTACCAACCTGGTTTTGGCGTTGTTGTTTTTTTTCAATCAAACACCTGGAGGAGTCTGGCCAAAAAGCTGCCTGGTTTTTGTTACGCGAACCAACCATGTCTGTGGTTTCACAGGCAAAAAAACAATAACACCCTTGCTCTTTTTGAGGGTCCCCTAAGAAAAACAAACACAGGTCGCTCAGTATGTGGGCAGGTCATTTTTGGAGGGTACCAACCAGTTGTTGGCGGTTTTCAAGTTTTCAAGGCAGTCCCTAAAAAAAGACGCGCCTGTATAGGGTCGACCTTTACGCGGATCCCAAAATGTGCTCCAGGGTCCCCACTGTGTTGGACACACACACACACACACACACCCAAACAGACCGTTCGGGGTCCTGATACTTAGACTGTGGGCCCCCCTCAACAAAAAAAACACTGCACATCACGTTGTCTGGGGAAGCAACCCTGGGTCCGCGTTAAAGCCGCCCTCTGCCGGCCGCTTTCGCAGAGAGTCATCATCATGGTGTTGATGATGCTGGTATCCCGCACCAGACCTCCGTAGAAGAAGCTAAGTCCTGGCAGCTTATTAGGGGTGGCAAAATGCGAAAGGACTCTTCCGGCTGAATGCATGAGCCTGGTTTGAAAGCCTGGGGTTCTTCTCTTCACAGGTGTCCTCTTGGTTTCCCTTGTAAAATGGAACCAAACCCATGAAAAAACCAGCGGAACCCATCTATCTCTGACCAAAGCCACACCGTGTCTCCCAAAATTGGGAACACCCACGAAGAGTGGGGGCGTCCATCCCGGTTTCTCTTGAAACACACATCCTAAAGAAACTCCCATGCTGTCCAACAGACACAAAGAAATGACATGTCTTGACACAAACTTAGTTCAATACACCATCCAGGGAAAAACAAGAATCGAAGATTAGTTTACAAAGAAATGACCTGTCTTGATATAAACTGAGACTAATACACCATTCAAGGAAAAAATGGAAAAAACATAAGAAGAAACAAAAACGAAGACCGGTTTAGGACACTCTCACGCGAAGCCATCTCCTGCAGTCATTACGAACACCAGCGCGGTCGACGTCAGCACCCATGCTGTGGCTCCTGCGTCACCTGCGTTTACCTGGGACAGCGATACTGCAAAGATGCGGAACAAAGATATGTAAAGGTGCTGGTTGTTTGATAGTAAAGAGAATAATAACAATGATTGTAATAATAAGCATAATAATAATGATGATAATAATAAACCCGTCATAGCCCCCAAAACCTTCTAGACCCGTTTGATGCAAACTCATGGAATACTGCAATATTTCACCTGTCAACTAGCTGGTATTTAGGAGCCCGTGCTTTCAGGTGAAGTGCAGGGGGAAACAGCAACCACTCTGTTGGCTTCTTGTGAGATTTGGCGAGGCTCCGCAGGGGACAAGAAACGCGCCCATCCAAGACTTAAGCACGCACAGCCGCCACATCGTGGCCTCCAAAAAGTTCTAAAGAACCAATGAATCAGGTTTTTCTTCAAGCCAACCTGAAAGTTGTACCCTCGGAAAACGATCAAAACCAAAATGGGATGTGGGACCCCCAAAGGTGACCAGGATTTCCCTTTGGGAACAACCAGAAAGGAGGTGGCACTCTCTTCGAAGGAGACGGTCGTGTCAACAAAACCCGCCGGCACTTTCTGCCCGCAAATATCCCCAAAGATTCTGCGGAGAAAAAAAGTTCCGTGCGGCGCCTGCCAGTTCTTTGCCATGGGCGAATGCAAACTGCGCTCAAAAACCAGAATGAGCAGGAATAGTTGTCAAATTACTCTCCCCACAACCTAGGGATAGGTCGGCGAGTACCTACGACGTACTTTTTGGGGCGGCCTGGTGGGCTTGCGTTCAACTCAAGGAAAACCTTGGCCCATGTTTGGCGATTCCTCCACAAAAGAAATACTTGCTTGGACGCAGGACAAAGCTCCGAAAGCAGGGTATCCCCCGAAAACGGAAAATGGACTCACGCAGTGCTTGGCTTCTTGGTCTCCATTTACTGCCCGAGATCGGTGTACCACCACTAGTGGCTCACGACTGACACAAGGCTAGGTGTTCACCTAGTGGGAAGCATGCAGAAGTTCGTTCCGCAACCAGAATGGGACTGTGGGGCATGAAACGAAGAAGGGGCTGTGGGAAACCAAAACCTAAGTGATCACAGGAGAGTGATGAACTGCACCTCCACAACAAAACTGACATACTATTCATGTCCCCTTCTGGAACCAAACTGGTCAAGACCTGGCAAGCGCAACAAACGATGACCTCCAGCACCCCCAAAGGCTCCAGAAACGTGAGAATTCGCGCACAGGAAGAAGCGGAGAATCCAACTATGCACAAATGGTTTTGTTAGGGGAGCTTTTTGGGGTGGCTCGGCTTTTTGAGGGTGTTCCAGCACCATTTCTGGGGTTGAGGCGTATATGCTGATCATGTCAGCAAATTGTTCTGTCATATGACTCCATACCGGGGATCCCGTCCCAGACTTGGTCTTGAGAGCAGTTGACAAAGTATCGAAGCGATCCGGAGCACATGAGTTGGCAGCACTGGTAGAGCTGCCTTCCTCAAATCCTTGAAGGATGCAAGTGTTCAGTCAGAAATTGAACTGTTAAAGCTTATTCAGAAATTGAACTGTTCATATTTAGTCAACCCCCGCCAAAGAAAAAAGGTTCGAAGGAGTCCCAACATCAAACCAAGTGGCAGTGATGACTGCCACGTCCGCCATGACGAAGTTCCCCGGCTTGCGGGATCGCTGTGAGTCGCCGGTAGGCTTCGAGCCGAAATCGCTAGAGCGGTGCTTCGCCGAAACCTTCGTCCACCAAACAAAACCAGCAATTGGGGAGAACCTGAGTCCTTTCACAGAAATCCAGATGTCCCCTCGCAAGCATGGGTGGATTCTGGCACGGAACCCACCCGAGGACCCCGAAACGTCCGGTTCCAGGGCAACGTGGACAGGTTTAACAAACTGAAACCGTTGCAGCTTCGCAACAGGGAATGACGGAAAGACATGGCTCCCTTCTTTTTTTGGGGAATCCGATATCCCCCAAAACCGCAAAAATCCTTCCCACTGCCCGCACATCCTTCCCCACCGATCGCCACGCATCTCCGAATCCATCGCAGGCCCGATTCGGCCGCTCGCCTTGATGCGGACATCAGGCACCGGTGCCTCGGGCTTGAGGCATCGAGGCTGGAGCGCCCGTTTCAGCCACTGGCTTTGACTCAACCAAAATGAGTATACATATTTATGCAGGGGCGCTACGATTTTTGCTAAAGGATCTAGCCGAGCCACCCAAAAAAGGTACTAACATTGACATTTGGGTGCTGAAATGGATTCTGCTGGAATTAATCTAGGGATTGTATTCTGCTCCTTGCTCCTTGCGACCCTTAAGGGATATGGTTTAGTCTACTGAAACCGTTACAAGTTACATGGTTTCCTCTCCAACAGGCTGCATGGAAACTTCTCAACTGTTTGCTTGTTTGCTCGTGGCAAAGATATAAATCATCTCTTCCTGCTCATTTGCTCCCCCACAAACCAGCCAGTTTTTTTGGGGGGCCCGCCAGGCATGAAACCTGATCCACTAAAGACCACCCTCCTGTCTCTCATCTCTCTACTGCTACCTTCCCCATTCTTTCCAGGGAAACTTCTTTCTAGAAAGCCTCCGGACGGCCGGTTGAAAAGAACGGGGAATCACCCCTTAGAATCTCACGTCCCTCATCTCCCTGTCTCCCTGTCTCCCCTTATCACTTGAAAGCCTTGATATGACGGAACCCCAATCGTTCACAACCATATCCTCTTCCACACAAACCTCCTATACCTGCAGCTCAAAAAAAAAAAAGCCCCACCCCTCAACCCGGGCCGGGGGCGGGGGGGTCCTCTTCACTTCCCTAACAACCTGTCCCAAGAGGTGTTCCTTTCCATCTTGAGTTCATGAGCCCATCGCCACGAGTCTTGTCCCACAATCATGACCAACGTTGCCTTTGAAATACCCTCCACAAGCACATGCAAAAGTTACCCCCCAAATCAGAACCCAAACAGCGGGTCGAAGGAAGTCCTTTTCTGAAAAAGGGGCTTCCTGTAGACATGATTGCCATGCTAGTCTGGGAGAGTGATCTGAAGGATCCTCCCATTTTCAATCATAGAGCCTTCGCCGCAACCAAGAATCAACCACGGGTTATCAAAATCTTGGGTTCCCAGGACCCCTCAACCCATTGCAATCTTTGCTCCTCTTTGTGTTTACCAAGATAGACTTGAACCCAAACGTTCTGCTTCGGAAGGAAATGAGAGCCACTGGGTTCAAGTCCACCTTGGGCGAATCAAAAAGCGAAGCCCTGCGAATTCTTTTGACCCCTCAACCCATTTCAGCGAGCCGCATAGACCGTGAGCACGAACTGGCCAGGGCTCTTCGCAGTCTCCGTCTGGCAGGGCGATTGCAGAAATTCAGAAAGCAGGGCCCCGGTTCCCATAGCCTAAGGGTCCACGGACTCTGCCCGCAAGGAAGCCCACGCAACTCCCCAACAACTCGAGAGTTCTTCGGAGAACTCTGGAGAACTCTGACAACTCCAGACCTCCCCCCCTCACCGCCAAAAAATAAGAAGCAGTAGCCCTGACAACCCTGGACCCCCCTGAACACCTCCCGACCCCTCCGTGAAAGCTGCCCCAAAGCGGGCCGATGTAACTCGCCCACCCGCCTGGCCGTTGCCCAAAGGCACCCGCGCCGCCATGGAGAGCGAGTCCTGAGACCCGAGTTTTAGAACTGGGAAGGGGGACCATTTTCGAACACGAGGTTCAGCTCATGTTCGAACACATGCATCGAAATCATTTTCGAGCACATCCAGGAACTCATTTTCCAACACAGGGGATGGGGGGGTGGGGTGGGGGGGTTCTCCCGTAGAACTTTGGAAACGCCCTTTTGGTTATGTCCCTTTTACAGGACCCAAAAAAATGGTGGCTGTCCTTTTCTTTTGGCTTCCCTTCGGAACCAAAAAGCGTAAAACACAAACCAAAGCCTTCGAGTCAGAACCCATTGGTCCAAACTCCCGGGCTTTGTGGAATTTGGGCGTTTTCTTGCCCAAAATTTGGTCAGTTGGGGAAAGAATCGTAACCCCTCCGCCCAGTCCCAATTTCAAGAACCCAAACTCGGGTCTTGCTTTCTGGAAGGAAGACAGCCAAGATTTCTCATGGGATTTTGCAGTAAGAATTTGTGAGGCGACCGGATCCTTGGCCCTCAGTCGACTTTGCTGCCGAGTTGATGCGGCATCCACCTGGACCCGAAAAGCCGCACGGCGCATGCCCACATCCCCTCCCTCCTTGCCCCCGTCAATGGCAATGCCCAGCTCCACCATGATGTGGCTGAGCGCCTCGCAAGAGTCGAGCTTGGGGTGTCGTGCAAGTCTCTGGCCATGGGGAAACGAACCAAGCAAAGCACACTGCATCAGCTACAGCCGCAATAACGGCAACGGCTCCACAAATTGGAAGCAATCATGAAGATGAAGGCAACAGGAAGACAGGCAAACGACAAGACGACGACGACGACAGCCACAATCGCGACCAAAGGGATAAGGCAAACAATCACGCGCAAAGACGCAATGTATAAAGGAGCTGTAGAAAAAAAAGGCAACCAACAGGCAGGGACGAAAAATTAAAGAAAGCGAATTGAAGAAAATTGAGCACACCAGAGGCACCAAGGCTCAGGAACGAAGCGACAAACAACAAACTTCAAGACGCAGAGACGATGACAAAGAAATTCTTGTGGCCATGCAGAGAAGAAAACATGTTGCCGGGCAATCGAGGCCTCAATGTCAGGTGTGAGGTTGTGCGCTCTGAGAATCGCTCCAGTCCGCTTCAAAACAAGACAGATTTGCCCTTGAAGCATCACCCCGCAAACGGCCAAAGGCTGAGGGCCTCTGAAAGCAAAACAAAACCGACCCATGGAAGCTGACGGGTATTGGAAGAAATACACCATAGCTGGCTCGCCGCTCTGGAAGCACTTGCGCCCCAAAGTTGCCCTGGGCCCTTCCAGGTGTGTTTTTTGTTTTCCTGTTTTTTGTTCTTTTTTCTCTCCGGTAGGGGCCTTTCCAAACCCTCCAAAACATGAAAAGTGAGCCATGATTCCAGTTTGAGTTGACCTCCTCCCCAAAAAAATCCCACCCCCTGCGCATTTCCCAAAAGCGCCCCAAGCCAAAAACCACCAGCCCATCGCCACCGCTCGGCCCATCGGGTTCCCACGGAGCCCATCGGAACGCCTCGGCGATGTCGTACATCTTGGGGCCCTCCCCGGGCAGCTTCGCGGCCCACATCCAGTTCCCCGAGGCCTCGCGAGACACCCGGGCACTCCGGCCGGGTGAGCCGAAGTCTTGACGTTGACGCTGGGCTTGGGGAGCCAAACAAAAAAATCAAAAGCTTTTTAGCGGCTGAGTGGAGTTGGAGTTCAACCACTAAACCACAATAAGCAAAAATGTGTCAAATGTTTCCCAACAACAACCATGTATTGGGAGCGGAGCTGTGTCTGGAGAGGAAGGTAAGCCGTCGTCGCTATGACCCCTGGATCAAAAAAACAAGTAAAAGGCTCATAGGTGTCCTTTTAGGTCAAATAGACGGGTTTCCCTGGTACATGATTCAACCACCAGGTAAACCAGGAATCGGAACCCATCTATTTTTCTACCCAAACAACCAAAAAGGACACCTATGAGAAGGTTGCACTAGTTTGGCCAAGGGGTTGTGGGCCACGCGCACAGCGCTGTGAAAGTCGCACGGCCCGAAGGGTGGAGAAGGGAGGTTCGTTCCAAAGAGCATTCCTTCGACCTCTGCCAGCACCATAGCATCTCTTTTGTGGACACCTGGGATGTGGAAATGGAGAAAGCTAATCCCAAAGATCCGAAATGGAAAAGCAAGGAAGATGAAATGGATTGATAGAATCGATTCCAAAATCCATCGGGCCATGGCCGCAACTGCCGCAAGTCCTCCAAAATCCTACGATACTTTTGTTTGAGGGCGGGAAAGTGGTAAAGTGTTTTTTCTTTCTAGTTTCATGTCTGGCACTGTGGAGCTGTCGGCCGGTGCCAACGCAGAATCCCGATGCGCCTTGATCGAGTCCAGAGTGGGGATTCGCACCCACGCCAGGTTGGTCAAAGCCTCGCACAAAAATCGGGGGCCGCCCAAACTCGGCAGGGAACCTGAACGCAAGAGGCGACCAGGTTCAATATGTCTGACCTGAAAAGAACACTTGGCCCGAGCCCGAAGTTGGATTGAAATATGTCATGTTGTGGTGCTGTTTGTTGTTGTTTGTTGTTACTATTCAATGGCGGGTATATAATACTGTAGCTAGCTAATGCTGTGGATGGACAGAATCCTGATATGAATGAAACTGCTGCAACCCTATGAATACTGGTGTACAACCCATCCACTAACTGGCGCCATGTTGGGAGTCCGTTTTAGGGGACCCCCCTAAAAAAGAACATGTTGGCTTTCCTTCCCCTCCCTTCAGAAACCAACCAAAAGAAAGGTACCAAGTGCACAAGAAGACGAGCGCCACCCATCTTTTCGGATCCCCACCCTTCCACCGCAAGATCTCGCTTCGATTCACCGCGCCTCCGCCACCGCCAGGCGCGCCATGGAGATGCAGCTGGCGGGGTCCCCTGCCATCAGTGCCAGTTCTTCGGGCCGAGACATGGGTGCCTCGTTGTTTTTTGGGGTGCTATCGGTTTTGTCCCCAGCTGAAAGCTTTGGGGTCTTAGCGCAGATAGGCTCCGGGGTGGTCCGGCCCTGAGGTGAGGTTCCACGAGGGTTCCACCAGGGTTCCACGAGGGTTCCACGAGGTTCTGCGAGGGCTGCAGGGTCGTGCGAGCACTAAAAAGAGCACCGCATGCTGTTGGGGATATCACCTGAGCTTATTTTTTTTGTTGGTTGGGTGTTAAGGGAAACCACAAGGAAAACACCATTCAAAAGGAAAGCGTCCGTTCTTCGGGGGAAAAAAAGGGCCGCAGAGTTGGCCAGGGTACACTCATCGACTCGATCGACTCTGAGATGGAAACAGGGTTTCCTGAATGTCCCCCCTCACAGCAGCACTCACAGGACTCACCTTAAATGGGCCCAAAACGATGATGTGTCAAAGCATCGAAAAGTAACCTCTGGCTAAAACGTCTTGAGGGGCCACGGCTCCCCCACTCTCCCCCCACCTCTTAGACCCTTCCCTCCGCCCCCTCCCCCCTCGAGCGGGGTCCCTCCCCGCCTGCCAAGCCCTTCAGGGGCTGCTCCCCGATGGCGGTGGCACCCCCGCTGGTGCTCAAAGGGCTCTGAGCGATGCACGCGAAGTCCGCCAGAGGCGTCTGCAGCGGGCCCACACCTCGCCACTCGCCAGTCGCCGGCGCGAGCCACGGGAGGCTCTCCCGGAAACAGACAACTGAAACCAAGCGGAGTCCAAAAGGAATGCGAAAGGAGGAAATGAAAGGAAACCGAGAAGGAAACCGAAACTGATTCTAGCAAACCACAAGGAAGCCAACATGAAACTGTCGGAAAACCATGGATGTGGATTTTCTTTTCCAAGGGTAGCACCTCTTCGACTTGACCAATCCACGAAACAAAAGGATCCGAGCACTTGGCATTGCTGCTGCGCGATCTGGCCAGTCACTGATCGGTCCACCTGCGTAGAGTCAAGGTCTCGAACCACGGAGCAGGAGCCCTGCTAAGGGTTGCGAATGGATGGCACTGGGTTTTGTTCAACACTGTGGGTGGACGAACTCCATTTCGCACCACCTGGGATAGATGAAACCCTATAAATGGGCCAAACCAGCTACCAACTGCCGCAGGAATTGGTCCATCCACAGGATGACGGCAAAGAACGGAGGGGGTCCTTTTAGCGTCCCTGAAAAAAATCCGGCCTTGTTTTTTGGGGACCCCCCAAAATGGAGGGTGTCCTTTTAGGTCCCTTTGAACCACACAAAAAGAGTACTTCCAAAAAGACACCGGGCATAACCATCCTCAGCTCTCAGCCATAAACACCCCGCTAGGAACAAAACGCGCCGGAAAATCCCAATGTCGAATAGGGGGAGCCAACAACCAAAAATGGTACCCATCAAAAACAAACACACACACACACACACATCACTTGCAGCAGTGCAACTTGCATTGCAAGCCTAAAGGGGAATAGAAGAGCGAGCTGACTATGTGAAAAAAGTCAGAAAAAGCAGTGAGTGTAGTTCTCAAAAAGTGGGGTCTAACTCGACCCGCGGATTGGCGCAAATTGGTTGCCGCTGATTTGATCAGAACCCTCCAGGAAACTCACAAGTCGGCCTTGCAACAAGATGCTAGCTTGGCCCAACCTCCAGTGTACACTAATACATGTGTATATATATATATATATATATATGTATAAATATGTATATACATACATAGCTCCTTTTGTATATATACATATATATATATATATACATATATATATATATGTACATATACGTGTATGAATCTATATATATATATATGTGCTAACGGGTGCTTTTCCAGGCTTCGTTGGTGAGACCCCGTTGTGCTTTTGCATGCATTTTACCAGTGTTCGCAGCACATGCCGGTTATCCCTAAACAGACGATTTCCGTCCGCGTTTTTCGTTAGTGTTTTCACTGCATCAGCATGGCAAGTCATTGCGTCCTTTGTGCTCATGTTTCGAACGAACATGGATACTTTCTTCACGTGTGTTTGAAGCGGGGGTGGGAGGGGGGTGGGGGGGGGGCTAATGTTATTCATGTGGACATGATTCGATGTTGAGCTGAGTTATGTGGCATGCTTTCTTGACTGCTTGGTCAGGTTCGAACTCGTTCTGTTGTCAAGGTTGCGCAGAGTTGCTCTGCTGAAGTGCTGGCACATGGTAAGCACACCCGCCCACGCGCATGTCGCTCAAGTGTACTTATGTCTGGCGCATGGTAAGCACACCCGCCCACGCGCGTCATCTCAGCACTGTAACTACCCATGCGTGGCACATGGTAAGCGCACCCGCCCACGCGCATGTCGCTCAAATGTACTCATGTCTGGCACATGGTAAGCACAGCCGCTCACGCGCGTCATCTCAGCACTGTACCCATGCCTGGCACATGGTAAGCACACCCGGCCACGCGCGTCATCTCAGCACTGTACCCATGCCTGGCACATGGTAAGCACACGTGCACTCGCTCAGCACCGCACACATGCCAGCCAAATGGTAAGAACACCCACTCACTTCTGGCTGCGCACTGGTCTCAGCCCTGAAAAAGGGCCAATAAAGCAAGGCTGGATGGATGAAAAATGCGCGGCGCCTAGGCGAGAGAGCGCCTGCAAGTGCACCCGTCGGGATATATATATATATATATTCAGATGGTGTGTCATATTTTCCCAAGCTCAAAATGTAAATATCGTGTTCGGAGATCCCAGACTCGTGCCTTGTTTGTGAGGAAGCGCTTGGAGCACACGGACAGGAGCCGCAGCACACCTGCGGCAGGTGGTCAATGGTGGTTAGTTTGGATTGGGGGCGGGCCAAGCTGGTTGGGAATGCTCCGAATTGCTTTGAATCTTACCCTCCTGTCCACGTTGCCATGGAACTTGACAGGTGTTTTTTGTTCTTTTTCTGGAAGACCGTTTTCCTTTTAAAGAACCCCCTTCCGATTCCATGTTGATTGGTGGGAGGGTAATTGAGCGCCCTTTTGGGCTCTGTATTCAAATTCGAAACCCAAGACTCTCTCTTGCCCAGAACTGTAATTGAACCTTCTGGAATATGAATCGAAACGGGGGACAAAAAAGAATACGGCTTTGAACCCGCGCGGTGATCGGGCAGCCAGAAGCCAAGCGATCCCGCGATGAGAGAAGTTCCAAATCGGAGGGGTGACACTGTTTCAACAAAGATCATGCCTGCGGAACTGGGCTGAGACCCAGATCACCTGCAAAAAGTATCTAACTTTTGTTGTTTTAGTGGAAACTACCTCACCCTGAAACCTACAAACCCAAGGAGTTGGCTGGTTTCCGCCTGGACCCTACGCCACATTGGGCCCCATCAATTAGCTCTTATTGGGATTGGGGACCCCCATTCTTTGCCATCCAAGGATTGAGATGCTAATTGGTCGACCTTTCAGACGCCTCAAACGAGCTTAGGCCTCTGGGAAGCTGCGACTCGCCAAAGGCAAACCGACCCTTGGGTTTTTTGGTTCCCTGACCGTCTGACCAGCCTCGGTATGTCTCCCCCAAACCAACAACTGGTTACTTGGCTTGGGTCTGCGCTTCTTGAGGGTACACCATAACTTGGTTTCTGTTGACCCCCCTGCAAAAAGTTCAACTTTTTGCGGGTTTACTGGAAAACCCCTTGATTTCAACCAAAAGTTAAAGTCTCAAGACCCAACCCAATAGCAGTCAACTTAAGCTAACACCGAAGCCCACGGAGCTTCCTCTGCTCTCGCCTGTCTCCAGGGCCACCTGCACCGTCAGGGACGCCGGGAGCTCCTGTGCCCCCGCACAAATCGAAGCGTCGAGTGGACGATCCGGCAAAAAGCGCCGCGAGAAATCGGTGGGCGTGGGTCGAAAATAGGGGCACAAAATGGGTTGCCCTGGTAAATGCAATGGAGCGCCCCCCCACCCTCAAAGAAACACATGGCATAGTTTCTTGCTGGTGCACAGCAGGGAGTAAGGGAATGACCTGAATGGCCCTTATAAACCATCCAACTGGTGGTTTCCTTTAAGGGAACCCTGGGTTCATTCCCACATTCCCTACCTATCGCACCAGCAAGCTTGAACCCGATGCCAAAGCGTTGTCCTGGTCGAACACATAAATCGCTCCGGATCGGCGATACCAAATCAGTCTTTCCTCACGTTCAAGAAGGCGTATCACAAAAAGCGGCCCTGAAACCCAACCTTCACAAATAGCTCTGCGTGTGGTGTGTGTTTGAGTGAGGAAGACAACTTGGGTGTGTCCTTGTAAGGGTACATACTTCTCTATATTTCAGTGTTTGAAACTACACCGAACTGCCCTTCTTCCAAAAAAAAAGCATATTTACCTGTGGCGATGTCCCTTCAAACCAGTCGAGATCTAAACCAACGCCTCCAGAAGTCGACTGCACAGCAGCCATTCGGCTGGAAACTGGGGCGCCCTTTGTCCCATTTTTCCGGATACCCTGAGCCCAAGGGATCAATCGATAAAATCCACCGACGTCAGCTCGCTCCAGAGCTTTGGGGATCTGCTTGTAGATGCGCTGCATCTTGAAGACCTTCTGGGGCATCTTGCCCAAGACCTGCGATCGATGCGATCGGATCGTGGGCGGCTTCGCGTGATTTGTGTTTCACCCTATTTTTCGGGAGCACGGATCCATTCGTTCCCCGAAAAAGAATCTGCGAATTCTGGAAGCCGGAATCATGGTGAGTTGGCTTTATATAGGTGAGCTCGCCGTTCAACTGGGCCACGATTCTCGCTGGATCTGGGAAGTCTCTCCCGTCGGCTGACGGCGCGAAAATCCGTAGAATAGGCAGAAAGATCGATCGTGATCCTGCCAAGAAATGGCCGCCCGAAGCCCCGCAGTCTTTGGGGGCCGTGTCTCCACCCAAAGCGATTGTCATGGCCCCAAGGGGCTTCCCTTGGTTCACCAAAACTGTATGCCTGCGGGGTGAAATGAGCTCACTTTGATGTAGGTCCTTTACTTGGGGTTCCATTTCGTATTCCAGGTTCTCGAATTATTGTAAGAACGGCGCGACCTTTAGGTTGCCCATCCTCCAGGAAATGCCGCCCTACCCAGTACACCTGCCCCCCCCCCATTTCCCGTTCTTCCCCAAGCGTTGCGGAGAACGCTGCTTAACTAGGTCCTTCAGTAGAGAGGCTGGAATAAGGCTACCCTTTTTTCTGTCGTCTATTTTAGGGGAACCCTCCCAACCAAAAAAGGGGTACAAAAAGAGGGCACCTAGCTGGGGGACCGAGTTTTTTATCTGGGCGCCTTGTCCAGCGGCAGGTCCACGGGGGTGGAGTTGTCCCGGGTGTCCTTGACCACCACCTTGCCGTCCCCGGTGATGGTGCCTGTCGAGCCGAAGCCCGGCGGCGGAGGCCGAAAGCCCGGCGGTCCAAAGAGACGGCAGCGGGAGAAAAAAAGCGGGCGGAACCCACGGCCACGGGTTCGGTGTTGGGTGCTTGGTTCATCTTTTTTGTCTTTTTATCCCTCTCTCTCTCTCTACATCTCTCCTTGTTGCATTTGCTGTTTTAGCGGCAGAGGTGAGGTCCTCGCAGCACCAGCAGCACAGAAAGTCCAACAGCACCCAAAGCGTCCAAAAGCCGCCTGCTTGGCAAGGATTCGGATCCAACCACCATAAGGCCTGCAATTTCCCTTTTCAACCATCCTGAATCTGGTACCCAATCAGCCAAAGCGGGGCTCAATCAAGCACCAAAGCTTGGTTGACGTTGAAAGGGGAGCAAAAAATTATACATTTTAGCAGTTAAGTGGGGATTTCCCTCTAAACCACAATAAGCAAAAATGTAAAATGTTCCCAACAACAACCATGAAAGGTGACGGCTGCAATGAAAAACCCCATGGTGCGTTCGCAGATCGCGGAGCCGCAGGAAATGGGCGGCAAGTCGGCTTCCAGAAAGTGGCTCCTGAGAATTCCTTTGACTCGGCTCTCTACTATAGTTGTAAAGGTTTATATGGGCGTGTTCCTTTTTGAGCGTACCGCTGTTCAAGTTGGCTTCAGGGGTTGGTTCCAAAGGGAAAACCACATTTGTTGAGGTCCCCCTATTTTGACACATGCCATCACCTTCTAAGTGTTGACCATAGAATGCTCGCATGATGGACCGCCCTGTGATCCAACTTCGATCGCGATCAACGCTGACCTCGGATTGGGCCTTTTTGGGGGGGAGGGTCTCTCAACCAGCAGCTGGGTACCCGTTGAGCGTCCGAAACGTCGGTTCGTGTTGGAAGCCGCCCCGCGCCTACCACTGCATAGGGCACCTTCTCGCGCTTGCAGATCTGGTCGAACAGGGCCTGGAGGTCCCAAGTTCGGGTCATTTCGGTTGGGGCTCCATTCCAAAACCGCAGGCCTCTGCATGATGGCGGGTTCGGGTATCCAAACAGCGGAACCCCCTGCAACCCTCCGGAACCCTCCGGAACCGAAAGCTGCCCCAAACCACGCCTGAGCTTGGGCAGAGACTCTGGGGCTCTCAGCTGTCCCTTACCGCGGAACAGACCCAGAGAATGCAAATGGTTGCCCAACCTTGGGTAGCGAAGCACGCCCCGTCGGGAACGCCAACGCCAAACAAAATGTGGGAAAATCCCATTTGTCCTGCGATTTCCTCTTTGGGTCCTGAAAAAACCACCCAAAACGGGTACCAACTCGGAAAAAAGACGTCCAATTGGGAGCCTTTGGGATCCCTTGGCTTGGGTTGGTTCAGGGCGGAGATGGTCGAAAAGGCGCGCATTTCGAGGCAGGCCAAGTATGTCGCCAAGTGTCTGAACTGATTATAGGCTGTGGGTCAGAATCAAAATGGGGCACCTTGGCAAATGGAACCAAAGACTAAAACCTGCTTAACCCCAGTTGCTTACTTTTGACCCACACACATATGTTGCCAAAGAATCCTCCATTTATGGAACAGCTCCGGAGGGATCTGATACGGAGGTCGCGTCGGGGCGAACTGGAACGAACAATCGCCAAGCAACTGGTCGCTTCAGACTTAACAGGCACCGCAAACCAGGGATCCGGATGCATTATACACCTGAACATTGCAACTTGTAAATGGTGGTTTCCAACTTTATTTTGGTGTTGAAAAAGCAACATGTTTCAATTGGTTGCAAAATGGAACCCATCCTGGTGGGTGTCCTTCTGTTCATTCGCACTTCTCTTACGGCTGGCCAACGTGTTGTCGCTCGTTGGGTTTACGGGAGTGGCTAGGTCAACCTCTGTTTGTGAGCGCAGGGAAACGAGGCAGGGCTTTCTCTATTTTCCAATGCAGCATCCCGCCAAGAGGAAGCTCGCCTCAAATTGGTCAAAGCGTGGCTGCTGTTTTGCCCCTCTGCAAAAGGTGAATCACTTTTCGTGGGTTCAATTCGGAAGACCGACTTGATGTCAACCCAAAAGTTGAGACCAGTCAAAAGATCCGTTGCCCATAGCAAACAAGTAAGCTGGCCTCTGCAAGGGCAGACTCGGAGAGACCTTCGTGAGGTGCCTGTAACAAGCCGCTTGCGTTCAGCCAAGGTGCCCTATGGGCCCAGGTGGAAAGCTGAACTGGGCCAGCTAAAAAGCGCGGACCAAAATAGGGGACCCCCGAAATCGGCGGCTCTCCTTCAGATTTCCCGTACCAACCTGAAGGGTACCGGGCGCCTGATTCTTGACGCGGACCCATGGTTTCTTTTGGGGCTCCCAAGAGAAAACCATGCGAAAATGCTACCCCCCGTCTGGTTTTTGAGGTACCCTTTTGCAGGAAACCGATGCCATTTCGGAGATAGCCCTTGGACGCAACCCCATAGTCACCTGTCTTGGCCCAGTTGAGGCAAGTTTCCCTTAATGCCGCTGTTTTGACCCAACGGATCGCGGGGTTTTCCGCGCATTTCTCCGGATCAACGCGGATCGGTTGCAGCGCCTCGTTCTCCTTGCCCAGCAGGAGCGCATTGTTCTCCTGGAACTCCGCCGTCCACAGCTCCTCAGCGAAACCAAAGCGGAGCCAAGTGGATTCGGCGGCCCAAAAAAACGAAGGGGCGACCGAAAACCGAAAATTGCCGTAGAAATTTAGTTGCCCTCTAGCTGGTGTTTGGAGTGGTTTTTTGGAGGTTGCGGAGTAGACAAGCTCTCCGCAACAACAACCCAGAAAACGGAAAACTACGGCTGTTTAACAAGGGGATGACATTGGGTACACTCACCACATACAAATTGCCAGCAGAAAAAAACAGCACAACACACAACTGACAAAGTCAACGAAGTGTGTTGTCTGAGTGTTGCTGTGCTCGATCGGACTGGCACAACGCAAACATATCAAGAGCAGTTCTGAAGCAACCGGCTAAGAGGACAGAAAATGATTCACCAAACGAGCACCACAACGAAAGGAGAGAAACAAATGGGCCGAGAAGCAAGCGGTTTTGTAAAACAAACAGGGCAAACACAAACGATACGAGCCTCTATTCAGGACGGGTGCAAACCTCATGTAGAGGGTGGCTTCCTTTGGCTGTCCCTTTAAAAAAAGCGGCATGAAGTAGGCTACCACCAAAAAGCACGCCTACCTTGGTCCTCACACGTTGGGACTTGTTGCTTCCGCAAAAAGGGGAATCCTGGCTTTCGGGGAAAGGCCAAATCTGATTTGGGTGTCTCAAGATAGGTTATACCCCCAAAGTGGCTCCTTGTGGTTTCCCCGTAATCCCCGTAAGCCAAGCCTAAAAGTCTACCCTCAAAAGACAAACCCATGTCCAAAGGAGAAACTGTTTGGTGCCCATTGAGTTGGGTTACTCGCTTTTTGGGATGAGCAAGACCCGTTTCGCATGCATATCCGTCTTCTCTTCAGGTCGCCTTCTTGGGTTGGCTTGAAGGGAGGCCAAAAGGAAACCGAAGGCCTCTTTTTTTTGGGGGGGGAGGGGGGAGGGTCCGAATCCCTATTTGTCCAGGGCAAGCTGCCCCGTTCTTTACAAGGAATCCTTCTTTTCAGGGAGCCCTAAAAAACCCAAAGAAACCGCGGGCTTTTGAAAAGAACCATGGCTGAAAAGAGATCACAAAGGACTCAACCCCTAGAATTTGTTGAGACCCCCCGGGTCGTCGCTGGGTGCCGAACCAACAGAGACATGGACGGATCCCCCACGTGCATCTTCCGCAGATCGATCACCGCACCTCGCGCGGGCGGGCTGGTGGTCTGCCGCGCGAAGAAGAAAAAAAAAGGAGTCCTGGTGAAAACCCGTGGGCCGAAAGCCGAAAGCGGCTTTCCCTCTGGCCTACAACCATGGAAGCGGACCCCAAAAGGATAGATGTCGTCTTTCAATACCCTCCGTTCAGCTTTGAGAGGGAGGGTACCTCACGTTCGAGAAGCCAGGGAAAGCCATGATTTGGCTTCAGAATTGGTACTGCCTTTGGGGGCTGATTGAAAGGGAAACCAAACCCAAAATACCCAAATAACATCAGGCCAATGAATCTGCCTTCGGCCACACCATATGAGGGGTCGCTTTGCGAAAGGGCGGCTTTCTGTCAAATGGGGCAATCTTCCAGAACTGGCTTCATGGCAAACGCATCTTTTTCCAAGTCGACTTCTGTCACTTCCTTGCTCGGCTAGCCACACCCGGCCTGCAGGCTCGCTGATCTCCTTCAGCACGTTACCGGAGCCTCGAACGAAGCACTGCGGTTGTAGTGAACAACAACGAGCTGGACCCTTCTGACGGATTGTACAAGAAACAGCCACGTAAAAATGCAACGAGATCGTTGCCAGCCACTTGGCTCATTTCGGGCGCTTGGCGCGAGCAAACATCCAATTGAGGATGCCACGTTTTCGTTGTTTTCTTTTTCTTTTGTTCATGGGCCAGGCCATGTTTGGCTCTGTGCAGCGAGCTCAACAAAAGTTTGCGGTTCTCTCTGCCCCTGTTCTTCTTGCGTCAGCAAGACAGCAACCAGGGCTTCGCAAGGAGGCGACATCTTCAACTGAGCGTGTCAGCGCAAGGGAGGAACTGACCAGAAGACGTGCTGATCGGAATTGCGCTCATCGCAAATCCACCCTTACCCAGATCCGGGACCGATACAGCGGGCTGCTTCTGCGATGTGCTCTGCAATCACGGAAGGCTCGCAATCCGGCCGCATGCAGTAGCAAGGCAGCGCACATGAAGGACAGGGGATTCTCTAACTTCCACTATTACAGGTGTGTCCCTTGTTTTCCACTCGCAGTGTGCTCTCTTTTTTTAACGGACCTGGAGGGTATTACTCATATGTCTCACCATCTTTCAAACCCACGCCTTCAGCCTCCTTTGATCTGCATCACACCCCTCTCATGACTGGGGGATGTGTCCATTCAAATTTCTTTACAATAAGTCACGCCGCATGCAAGGTGCACTTAGCTTCCAGTTGAGGAGTTACTTTTTGCTCGCTGGCAGAGTTGACCGGGCCAACTCCAGCGCACAAAAACAAGACAGCAAAGGGGCAAAGTAATACGCCTCACCATACGGAACAAGCAAGACAATACAAGAACAGCAACGCGCAAGCACAGTGCTCTTGGGAAACTCGCTGAAGCAAAAGCATCCCCGGCAAATTAACTGAAGGAACCCAAGGCGGTCCTTGCCCCATCAAAAGCGTCCAATCCTTCAACAATGGGTGGGTTTCTTCTGCCAACGTGCTAAGAAAAGAAGAAAAAACATCATCCACATGGGTGTGTTTCTTTTTGAGGGTACCCCTTTTGGAGTGGTGTTTAAAGGGAAACCCGTTTGGGTGTCGTTTTAAGGCCCCCAAAATGGTGTTGTTGCTTTTTGGTTCCCCTTCAAAACCAAACAAAATGTATTCTCAAAACAAACGCGCACACACACACACACACACACATTTGTCGACCAGCTTCTCTACACCCCAAGCCAACCGCCCACGCCTCCAGCTCCTTGGTCGTGGATCGAGAGGATGGGGTTCTTCTCCCTCGGACCGAGAAACCGGGAAGCCACGATGTAAACCACTGCTCTTGGGTTTGGTGGTGTTGGAGGGTGTGGGTGGCTGGGGGGGGTGCTTTATCGGTTGGTGTTGGGGTGTTTTAGGGGGGGTTGGGGGGGTTTTGGGAGGGTTTGGATTGGGGGGGGAGGTTCACACATAAAAGCACGAATTGGAGACAAAGCCAGAGCGTGCGAACACAAATGCAAGAGGCAGAGACAAACTATTTACATCCGACGGTGAATCCAGTGTTGGGTCATTTCCTGAAGGGTCATTTCAGGGCGTTCCGAACTCATGGAAGCTCACAGAAGGATTATTGAAACTACCAGGCCTCCTGTCCACATTCATGATTGTTGGAAAGAGGTCAAGGGGTTTCTCATTCGAAGCAGAACCTTAATTGCCTCATTTGGGGAATAAACCTTCAGCAAAAGAAGAAGCAAGTTCTAATCTTCCAAACTGAGCGAGTGTGCGACGTGGCTGGCGGCCTTTTTGCCCGTTCAGTGCATGGCTCCATACCCTCTGGGAAGGCCAAGCTAGCTGGGTTAGCAGGAGCGAGGGGACATGGGGACATGGCCAAGCTACCTTCAAAATAGATTTCAGGGGACATCAAAGTGGCCATGGGTCAAAACCCAAATCGTACCCCCAGTGAACATCCCAATCCAACCACTAAAATAGGTTCTAAAATGGGTGGTGCACCTATTTCAAAATGCTACCATTGGTTTGGAACCATGGCCAAGTAGCTCTTCCCCTTTGCAGCGGGTGCCCCTTACCCATCACATGATCAGTGCGAGACCATGCTTGAAAGGGTGGCAACTGCCCTCTTTAGTACCTTTCTGGGGTACACGGAAAATGATTATCTTTATATCTTCCACATTTAGCCCTAAAATACAAAATGGCTGTGGCGCAATTGCTACCCAAACCTTGGTATATGGAAACAAAGCCAATTCCCTTGGTAACGGAATCCGGCGGTCTCAACATTACGAGGGTCCATGTTGAGAAAACAACCATGTCTCGCTTGAGGTCCTTTTTACTCGCCCCGGCTTTTTAGGGTCCATGTTGATGACAACAACAACAACAACAACAACAACAACAACAACAACAACAACAACAACAACAACAACAACAACAACAACAACAACAACAAACGACGACGACGACGACGACGACGACGACGACGACGACGACGACGACGACGACGACAACAACAACAACAACAACAACAACAACAACAACAACAACAACAACAACAACAACAACAACAACAACAACAACAACAACAACAACAACAACAACAACAACAACAACAACAACAACAACAACAACAACAACAACAACAACAACAACAACAACAACAACAACAACAACAACAACAACAACAACAACAACAACAACAACAACAACAACAACAACAACAACAACAACAACAACAACAACAACAACAACAACAACAACAACAAACAACAACAGCACAGCAACAAGCAGCACAACAGCAGCAGCACAACAACAACAACAACAACAACAACAACAACAACAACAACAACAACAACAACAACAACAACAACAACAACAACAACAATAAATTATATCTAAAAATGATAATCATAAATAATAATAATATTAAAAAAAAATGATAATAATAATAATAACAAATGAGGCGTTTCCCCCCCCCCTTCCCGTTTTACTCGCCCCAATTTTTTACCAGCCCCGGCTCACAACATCGCCCCCCTCATCCACGAGGGCCTCTTGGACCGACCAAGGCCTCCGGCCCAAGCTCCACACAGGAGCGAACCACTCGGTTGACCTGGCGGTCAAGCGCCAAAGGGGGCAAAGCCACGGGGCCTCCCGCATCGGAAAGAAATGGAAAGGGGCATCGGGTTTGCTTCAAAAAAAAGAAGGAAAGAAAGAAAGAAAAATTGAGAGAGAGAGAGAGAGAGCACACATACCCCAAAAAGGTCTTCGAAAGAACGCACACCCCAACAGGGCTTAGGGGGCTTGTGGAATGTCGCCCTTTCTGATGACGGCGTTGATAGTTGAAAAGTTGAAAGTGGAGCGTAGTTGGTGGGTTAATCCCGCTCCCCTCCCCCCCCGCCATTCATGTGTGTGTGTGTGGAAAATGATTGGCCCCTTTCTGCATTAAAGAGGGTGGACTTAACCGGGCTCCGGTCTCTTTTTCGTTTCCAATTCATCCAAGGGCACTCCAAGAAGGCACCCGTGTGGAACCTCCAACTGGATCCAACTGGAGTCGGTTTCCCTGTGGTTTTCCCTCAAACAACAGCACAGAAAAGGGAATCATCAAGACGAGACCTCCAGGGGCTAAGTACCAAGGCAAGGTGATTTGTGAATTGCTACTTTCGGGACTTGACTGTTTTGTGCTTTGGGTGTCCAACATGTTTAGAGTGTCCAGCCCGTTTGGAGACAAACCCCTACATCCAAATCCTCGATTCAAAAAACCCGGAACCCCGCGCCGCTTCCATAGCATCGCCCAAGTTGTAAGATAAACTCTGCATACATGTTTTGCATATTGTTTACGACATATCCAAAATCTGAAGTAAGGGATCCCTAAGTAAGGGACCTTCATTATGGACTTTGGCCTGATTTACTCCCGAATCGGTGAGCTCGAAACCCATAAATGGGCAGTTAAAACGACATGGCTGTTTGGGTTCCATCCTAAAACATGACGAGTTAACATGCATGTCCTTTTCTGCGCAGGGGCATGGCCCACACAGTTGGGTCAAGCAAGCTCAAGTTCATGATGCATCTCGCCGCATGTCAGCGTGACTAGTCCCGCTAAACGAAAACCTCAGCGTGACTAGCTCCCTCCACCCACCCACTTCCGATCGAGTGGATTGGCCCCGAAAAAGGATCAAGACTTCTTGTTCGCCACTACAAAGGTCCAAACCCAAAACCACTTCCTGAGCGGCTTGGCCCGAAATGTCCCAAACTTTCCGTTTGCTACCCAAACGTATGTATGCATGCATGCATGCATGTATGCTGTATGTATGTATGTATGCATGTATGTATGCATGTATGTATGTATGTATGCATGTATGTAAGTATGCATGTATGTATGTATGTATGCATGTATACATGTATGCTATGTATGTATGTATGTATATATACAGCATGTATGTATGTATGCATATTTATGCGTATGTATGTATCATGTATGTATGCATGTATACATCATGTATGTATGTGTAATACAATGTATTATGCTTGTAGATATAGTAAATGCAATTATATTTAATAGATAATTGTGATATGTATGTATGTGATGAAATATGATATTGAATGATGAATATGAATTTATCATGTGATGTAATGTTGTATCATGATGTGATTGTGATATGCGCATGATAATAACGTAATATGCATAATATATGTATGTATTATTATGCATGTAATATAAATGCATGTGTGCATGTATGTATGCATGCATGCACGCATGTACGCATCTATGCACATGCATGTATGTATGTATGTCACGTATGTACATGTATGCGCACATAATATCTACCCATCATGTATTATTATTTATTATGTTATGCATGCACACATCTTACGTGTGTATGCATATCGCATGCACATTTGGTACTGTATACATGCACTGTGATTTGTGAATGATGCGTATTTATGTACGCATGTATATGCAATGTGATGTACATGCCACCAGGTCAATGTGTGTATGCGCGTACGCGTACGTATTTACTAACCATGATTTATGATAGCATCGTATGTGTTTTGTGACGTGTATTGTATGTATGTACTCATTGTATGTACTTATGTGATTATGACGATGTGTTATTATGTGTTAGTCGTACATGATGTATTTATATTATGTGTTATGTATTGTATTATGATATGTGGACAATTAGCATGTATTGATACGATATGTGATGTGATGCATCGTTGATTATGTGATGTATGTATGTTATGTGCATATGTATGTTGTGTATGCTATGTTACATTGTGTATGTATGTATGTATGATCGTGTGTAGATGCAATTATACACGATGTATGTATTATGTGATTATGTATGTATGACGTTACGTATGTATGCATGTATGTATGTATGTACGTATGTACGTATGTATGTATGTATGTATGTATGTATGTATGTGTGTATGTAATGTATGTATGTATGTATGTATGTATGTATGTATGTATGTATGTATGTATGCATGTATGTATGCATGTATGTATGTATGTATGTATGTATGTATGTATGTATGTATGTATGTATGTATGTATGTATGTATGTATGTATGTATGTATGTATGTATGCATGTATGTATGTATGTATGTATGTATGTATGTATGTATGTATGTATGTATGTATGTATGTATGTATGTATGTATGTGTATGTATGTATGTATGTATGTATGTATGCATGTATGTATGTATGTATTTATGTATGTATGTATGTATGTATCTATGTATGTATGCATGTATGTATGTATCTATGTATGTATGTATGTATGCATGCATGCATGCATGCATGCATGTATGTATGTATGTATGTATCTATGTATGTATGTATGTATCTATGTATGTATGTATGCATGTATGTATCTATGTATGTATGTATGTATCTATGTATGTATGTATGCATGTATGTATGTATGGATGTATGTATGTATCTATGTATGTATGTATGTATCTATGTATGTATGTATGTATGCATGCATGTATGTATGTATGCATGCATGCAGGCATGCATGTATGTATGTTTGTATGTATCTATGTATGCATGTATGTATGTATGCATGCATGCATGTATGTATGTATGTATGTATCTATGTATGTATGTATGGGTCCAATCCCCCCAAGAGTGACTCAAGTCCGAAACGGAACTCGGGAGTTCCCTCCTGCCTTCTGCTGCATCTCCGCATCCCCGCGCTGCACTGCGTTGAAGTCCAACTCCTCCTGCAGAAGGAGCTTCCGAGATGCCGGAAAAAGGAGCCGAACCTTGGGAAACAGCTCTGTTCAAAAGGAAGAAGTTAACTTACAACAAAGTTGTAACGAAAAAACTAAAAGAAAAATCAGCAGCAACTCGAAGAAATAAACCAACAAACCAAAAAAGGCACCGCTCTCATGCCCTCGGGCTCCTTGCCAAGGAGTGAAGAGTTGATCCATCGAGGCTTGTAGCTACCCCTCGGGGTGCCGGTTGGGGGGGAAGCCATCGAAACACGGTCGCCACATCTCCGCACATCTCCCTCCCCCCGAAGAGGTTCCTTAGCTTCAGTCCTCAAAGCTTCGCATGGCCGAACTTCGCATCGGTTGATGCATGGAACACTGGTTCAATATCTTTACATTCGTCCTATTTTGGTGGTGCCCTTTTGGGGGCAAGCCAAAAAGTGTGTCTTTTTTGGAGGGTACCCTTATTGGGGTTGTTTTCAAGGAAAAACAAAAGGGTAACCACTTATATTTTTTGGGGGGGTCCCTCAAAAGACAAACCCAAAAAATAACCATCCGAAAAGGCTCCGCCAGTTTGGAGACACTCCTCCGCAAGATGGACCTCAGCTCTTGTCTGAAAATTCGGAGTTTCCTCTAAATGGTAGCAAGCGAAAGAACGGAACATCGCAGCCTGGGTCCTCCAGTAAGAATAAGGGTACCCGATTTTTTCCAATAGTCTATTTTAGTAGGAGAACCCTCCCCCAAAAAGTTGGTAAAAGGGCACTACTGGGGGACCTAGCAGCAAACAAAAGAGCAAAGGAACAATTCCCACTTCGGCAAACTGCCACATGGCAACTTGTGTCCACCCTCAAGCCAAGGCTTCCTGATTCCTCGCCGGTGTGGAATGGCTTTGCGATTGTTCAAAGGGAACCCTCCTCGAGGGGTCGTCCAAACTCTTCCTTGTCATGGTCCCTTTTTAAGTCGGTCCAATTTGCTGGTGATGTGTGATTCGGACACCGAAATTTCATCTTAGCAGAAGAGAAAATCACCTCTCCCACTGTGAATGCGAGAAGAGACCTCAAAAACCCACTTTGATTCGAAAGCGTTGGGGAAAAACTGATTAAGAAACAAACAAGAAGTTTGAAGGCCTTGCAAAAAAAAGAGCATCAGAGGTTCCCCTACCAATGTGCACGACTCACCTGTCCAAAAGGGGGCAGTTGCTCCCAACCCATTTCAAAGCCCGAAGCCCAAGTCCAAAACGAAAACCCGTTGAAAGAAGGGATCCAAAGGGGTACGCGGATCCCAACCCACCTTTAGGTACAAAGATTGACTTGGTCGATCGGGGAAATGTTCAGGGTTCCTTACAGAAGACAGCCCAACACCACCTGATTCACGAGGGGGGCCTCTTCAGCTGGCAGTTAAACCTCAGGTGGGGCCCTAGCATAGGTGGCCTTTTGGAAAAATAGATGGCTACAACCTATCTAATTAAACCAGTGGAACCCATCTATTTTTAACTAAACTCACCTAAAAAGGGAAAGCCTCTGGGCCCTAGTTTTATGCACCACCCATTTTAGAACGATGTAATTCTTAATTTTTCTATCAATCCAAGACCCGAAGCCGTTGGATGATGAACCATCTCCATCTCCAGTTTCCAAAATATCGCTTAGTCTGCCTGAAGTGGGGTTACAAAAAACCCGGGCCCCACCTGAGGGTGTTTTGGCCCATGGGTCAAAATCCCAAGCCCGGTTATTTGTCAACCACTCAAATAGTTCAGCCCACTGTCCGGGCATCCACCCAATCGATCCCAACGAGCTCTCCTGGTTGTCGCCGGCCACCATGGAGGAGGCCGCCCCGCCCCCCACGCCGATGCGGTACGCGGGGCCCCCGATCTTCACCACCAGCTGCCCGGCCTCGCGGCTTGGCGCTGGCGGCGCTTCGAGCGAGGCGGAAGGCGGTTCGGAGAGGCCGGAGGCGGAATGGAAACAGTAGCACAATAGTGGTGAAATGGTAGGGAAATGGTGGAAAATAGTGGGAAGTAGTGGGAAGTAGTGGGGAAACAGTGGCAAAACAGTGGTTGGAATAGTTTGTGGTACATGGTGGTTGGCCGCTGTTAAACAGTTGGAACGACACGGAAACCAGTGCAATCCATCTCCTTCCAACCAACCTGGCCAATGTTCGGACACCAGTGGCCGGCCACCTGTTGATAGGTTGGGGCCGGAAGGGCAGCCGATTAAAAAAATAATAATCGAAGGCCGCAGTCAGAGGCACCTGAAAAAGCGGAACTTCGAGTTGCCCAATCGGCGGCTGGGTGAAACGGGGGCTTGAACCAAATAGAAAAAAATGAAAATAACCTGGCCAAATAGAAAAACAAATAGATTATTGAAACGAAATTGAAAAACATAACATTGCCAAACCACAAATTCTCCGGTACCCTCTTTCTAACGATGACGAAAAAAAGAAGGCACTTGAAAACGGAACACTGGAAGAAATGGAAAATACCAATAATCTTTGAAAAGAAAAATTGCCTTCCAGGACCCTGTACAATAACAAAGTACGAGCTTGGTGTGTCTTTTTTTTGAGGTCAACACGGTGGTTGTCCTTTTGGTTTGCCTTCACCCCCCCGCCCCCCAAAACAAAAAAAAAGGGGAAAGACATCCACCCACCCACCCCCCCCCTCCAAAACAGGTGCCCCCTCCAGCAAACGCAGACCCACATGAGTCACAATCAAAACCTGGTACAAAAATGGTCGACCCTGAACCATGCTTCAAGAATTAAGAAGGCGGATATCCGCAGCTATTTATGGCAAGGGGATTGTCCCTTACCAACCAAATCTACCAGGGTTTTGCTTGCCCCCCCCAAAAAAAGAAGGGAAAAACATCCACCCAAAAAAGAGAAAAGTTCCCCCTCCAGCAAACGCAGACCCACATGCTTTTTTTAAAGGCACCTGGCAGCATCCCCGCCTGCGGCTCGTCCTTACCCAGGTGTCCGTGGTCCATCTGCCCCAGACCTGACGCGTCTGGGATGCGGGACATCTTGGCCTTTGGCCGCGAGGCGCCGACCCTTTTTTGCGGGTCTCCTTTTTGGGGCTTGAAGAGATCTGCAATTCTTTTTTCTATATGGCCATGGGTCAAAATCCAAATCGTACCCCCCAGTGAACATCCCAATCCCCCACTAAAATAGACTAAAATGGGTGGTGCACCTACCCCAAAATAGTACCATTGGTTTTGGCCCACAGCCATATCCCAAGACCTGGAATAAGGATTGGATCCCCAAGTAAAGGAGATAGATCTGGGTGACATACGCAGGATTATGAAAGTGCCAGGATCTGCCAACATGACTCCATCGAAATGGACTTTTCAGCCTGAAACTGGTTGATCCAATTTTTGACGCATGCCCATGTTGATCATGGTCATGCTTGTTCAACTAACTATTTGGGTTTGAATGCAAATGGGAGAAATGGTGGGGGTGGGCGGGAACCCCAACAATCATCCTACTAGCTCCCCTTTAAAGCAGCCCGAAAAAGGGCACCAACCCAAATTTGTGTGTCTCAAAATAGGTGGCTCCCTTTTGGACGGTTTCAAAAGGAAACCATCAGGAGTCCACCCAGGAGAAACACTCATATCGATGCGTTGTTTTGCGAGGGTGCCCCTTTCGAATTGATTTGAAGGGAACCAACCAGTCAGGGCATTTCCCCAAGAGACACGCCTTTGTCTCCCTATTTTTCTAGGGGTTGATTCCCCATTCTTTTCAACCATCATTCTTTTTAAAAACCAGCCGGTTTCCCGTTCTCTGGAAAGAAGGATGCCTGGAAAGAATGGGGAAGGTATTTCTAGAACTTGCTTGGTTCTCAGTCGGGAATGAGGAAAGACGCCCAATGAACCAGCCGCATGATTTCCTGGGATCCCATTTTTTCCTTCTTTCCCAGAACATCTCAGAACGATTCCTTGGTGTCAACCATGAAGACAAACCCACATTCAGGATCGAAGTTTTGCAATGGTTCTCACCAAGCACAATCATGCGAGTATCCAACGGTAACCCATTTCTTAGAACTGGTTCAACGACCCAAAGACAACCCCACGCGCTTTGTTTCATCGCCTCCGCTGAGCATGATGGGCTTCACCCACTCGAAGCGCTCACCGCTCGACAGCCGCATTCCGCAGGACCTCGGGCATTTTCCATTTGAGTCACAATCAAAACCTGGTACAAAAATGGTCGACCCAGAACCATGCTTCAAGAATTAAGAAGGCGGATATCCGCAGCTATTTATGGCAAGGGGATTGTCCCTTACTAAGCTTCATCTACCCGGGTTTTGATTGTGGCTCATTTGCCATTTGGCTTTGGTTTCTTAGTGGTTTGTGGATCCCTGAAGACCTCGTACCAAGGGAAACTCCCCTTGAGGCACCAAAAGATGATGTTGGACAACCACCTGAGTGCTTAGTTGATCCCTCGGCAAAAGTTACTTTAGGGGATGTGTCACACATCCCTCATCGCAAAAAGCCTAAAAGCCTAGGGTGCCACTGAAAGCTGAAAGCCGCCAGGGTTTGTCCTTGTTGTTGGGTTTTTGTCACCCTGCTCCCCCCACCCCCGGTTTGTTGTTTGTGTGTGAATATGTGTGAATGTGTTTTGTCCCCCGTCTGCTCCTTGCTTTGTTGTTTTTTGTTCCCCTCCACTTAATGTGTGTTTGTGTGTGTGTGTGTGTCCGTCTGTTTTCTTGTTTTAATCCCCCGTGTTGTGCGTTGGTCTGTCTCTTTGCGGTGCTTCCATTGAGGCATGTCCGGCACCACAAACAAAAAGATTTAGATTTACCAGTCATGACGAGTTGCTTCTTAGAACCCAAGGATTTTCGAAAAGCTTTCAGATGGGAAGGTTGCAACGACCCTATTTTTTCAGTTTGCGGGGACCGGTTCTTAGCCCTGGGTCTTAGGGAATGCCTTTCATGAGCCAAGTTATCCAACTCCGTTTGTTTGGCCGACTGGGTCATGGTTCCCTCAATAGGAATCATCATACACCTCTCGCAGTTGCATCAAGTCATGTTCGAAGGCGCTGCCTAAAGCCGCTCAGCAAGCAGGCTAGGGCTCTGTACTTGTGACTCAACCGTCAAGATATGGGCATCGACATCGACGGGTTGAGTGCGGCAGAAACCCCTACCTCACACTTGGTCTTGTTGACCTCGGTGGGGAAAGCTTTCCATTTGACACAAAAACCGCAAAGGGGACATTCCGGTTCGTCTGTGCACCAGAGTGGTCTGAAGCAATGAAACTTGCAATTCAATAGGAATCATTATACCTTTATGAAGGATCCTTGGATGACCATCCCAACGTTAACCCCAAGCAAAGGAACCGGTCCAAAGTGACCATGGCACCCGTCAGTTTCCGCCGGAACCCCCCCATCCCACACCTTTCCATCCCGCCTGGTCCACCCACAGATCAGAGGCTCCCCGAACTTGTTCCCATAGTCGCTGGCGCCATTGGAGCAGTCGATCAACACCTGGCATCAGCTGATCAGCTGAGCTATCCAAACCCAGGTAGATGAAGGCTAGTAAGACAATACTCCCAACAAATGGGTGCCTTCGCCTTTTTTATTTCTTACACGGTTCTGGGTTAACAGTGACTCATCTTGATCAAAAGAAACGGGACTTCTTGTGGCAGCCTGAGCGGAGGGACATGTCCCCCCAGATTACTTGGGGTACCACCCTTTCTAGTTGCTGCTAAACAAACATTCCCCTCTCCCACAAACCAAGGCTGGATTCGGACTCGCATAATTCAATGCGGCTAGATGTGAACCTGAAGGCAAACAATGAGCAGTTGGAAATCTGTCCTGATCATTGCAAGGGGAAGATCATTCAAGCTTCGCATGACTCATCAAGATCTTGATTCACAGAAGCCCCCAAGTGACGTTGCTCACTGCTTGACTCAGGACCCAAATACGTGCCACCCATCAGCATTTCTTTCTTTGCCTCACTCGCGCTCCGGCAATTTAGGCCGTTCCAGCGCCGCGCGGCCGTAGCGCTCGGCCGCCGATCTACCTGCCTGGTTGCCAGCAATTCGCTCAAAATCAAAATGAGAACGCTGGAGCTGAAACAGTCAAACACGAGAACACTCCGGCAACCGCAGGACGCTTTGAGCATCATGTCGCCAGGCGCGGGTTTTGCCGCTTTGGGCGAGGTCTGGGCTCGTCACTCGCTTACGCCTTGTCGAGCCCGTGCTCCTGAACCAGCTCGTACAACTGCGTGGCCACCTGGCAAGTGGACGAATTCGCCTTTGTCGCGAAGCCAAAGGCTTCCCTTTCCCTTTTTCCAGAAATCATGGGAGGGGATCATTGCTTTTTGCTTAAGAGGATGGTAGTCTTCCAACCCCCTGTCCATGCCCTTCTTCCAAACAAGAGGCCGGTGGACTGTGAATCACCAAAACAAAAAATCGAAATCCCTACATACTATTGGGAAGCTTCAAAAACCCTTTGAGAGGTCGCCGTTTGCCCAGAAACAATGGGTTTCCTGGCTTTATCCCGGCTCAGATGTCAATCAAACCCACAGAGCTGGCGCCGGTGAACGCCCATGTTTCCGGACCCAAGTCAAGCTCGTCAAGCTCTGGGCAATACCACGCAAGCAAGCAAGCCAGCCAGCCCGCCAGCAAGCCCGCCAGCCACCCACCCAGCCAGCCAGCCCAGCCAGCTAGCTAGCCAACAAACAACTCAAAAACTCCCAAAACACGCATCCACGCAGCCCCCACAAAAACCAAAGCACCGGCCAGAAACCAAACCAACCCACCCCACTCCGTTTGAGCCATGCGCGCCCGGGCATTTGCCGGGCACCCCCGCCCCGATTTCCCGGCCTTGGCCCAGCGTGCCTCGCTCTGCCTGGCCTCCGCCAGCTGCTGGCTCAACGAGGCCTCCACCTCTGGGCCTTGGGCGGAGGGCGCGAAGGCGGCAGCCATCTGCACCTGGTCCAAGAGCTCCTCGCTCGGGGTGAGAGGGTCAGGACCTTGGTGTCCTGGATAGAACTATATGGGGCTTCCCTTTTTGTCTTTGCGGCTTGCCAAGTGCACTGACGCGGCGCTTTGAGGAGGTGGGGGGAAAGCAAGTCCAGGAAAATCGGGCTCAAAAGAAAAGGCTCGGGCCCAAAAGCAAAACAGTTTACTGTGCGTTGCGTGTGCTGTCTTGCAGGGCCTGCTCCCAGGCAAGGTCATGACCTTGCTCGTCAGCCTCAAAGCACGGATTCCTGTCAGGATGCAACGATGCTAAGTCAAGATCCTCCGGGTGCCAGAAACCTTCACTGCTGCAATCCAGGGAGGCCGTGAGCCTTGCAAATCTGGCAATGGCTTCCGAGAGAGCAACATCGACAAGGGTTTATGACAGACACGCTTGCAGAACGACTCCCTAGCGGGTCAACAAGCAAGCTCCTCACGGTCTCTGGGGCAGCATAAACAGGGCTGCCACAGTTGTCAATGGGGATTTCCCTGGTACATGGGGAACAAGGCCTAGGAGCTGTGGTAAATGGGGAACAATCTAACAAGGCCTTGTAAATGAGGATCCAGGAGCTCCTGGGTGAAGGATCCTCACCCTGCGTCCCACTTCTTGGTGGTGGCTAAGGAGCTCTAGAAGAACCATGGGGCGAAGTGCTTGCCCCTTCAGCGTGCTTTTACTTGGTGGTTTGAAGGTTTGGTGGTGTGGTGGTTTAGGAGGAGCTACCAGAATTTGGGGTTTAAATCCCCAAACCGCCAATCCAAACCAGCAGCTAAGGGTTGTTTGACCCCTGTCACATGATGTGGCTAAGTCGAGCAAAATGGTTGGGTCAATGCCAATGATTCAACGCTTGGGTTGATCCCTTGCTAAAACTTATAGACTTGTGGGATATGCCAATCCCTGCGCTAGCTTCGCCTGAGGATTTGGCTGGGAACGGCGAGACAAGAAACCCACGGGTTGACCCAATGGCGGGTTGGCCACATTGAGTGGCTTAAGTTGACCAAGGCTCAGTTGACCAGAATGGTTGGCTTGTCCGTATATGGCTGTGGCTCAAAAAACGGTACCACAATGGAACCCTGGTAAGTGGAAACATGGACCAAAACCTGCGTATCCCCTCCTGTTTAACTTTGACCCACAGCCATATGAGGTGGGTTGACGAGTGAATTTAACCAGCGCGGTTAGGATGAGCGGAATGGCCGGGGCCGACCAAATAATGAACGGAGAAAGGGCCGCTTCAGCCGCACCTATGGTCGGGATGACACCCAATCAAAGTTTAGTTTCCCAGGTGTTGATTCTGCTTCACGGGCCGAGAAGAAAACAAAGCCAGACCAACAAACAAAACAAGCTCACGCCAAGCTTGCTTGTTTTGAGTGTCTGTCGTCATGGCAAACCGGCTCAGTTTGGGAGGACATCTGCAACAAAACCAAGCGAGTCAGAGCGTTCCGAGCTACGAGGCCCAAGCACATGTGTACAACTCTTGGCCCGCTGGGTGCGCAGAAGTTTAATATGTTCTGATTCCGTTCTGATTCCGTTCCATATTTCGTCTACCCTAGAATCAACCTTTGTGGTACTTTCGGAAGGAATTGGCCATAAACCTTTCAAGAGACCGTGGTTGAGGGCAGGGTCGGGCCTCCGGAATGCATATGTGCAGATATATATATATATACACACATATATATATATATATATATGTGTATATATATGTGTATATATATATATATATATACATATACATATAACCACTCCTTGCCGAGGCCGCTTTGGGACCACGCTCGCATCCCTACACGGAAAATTCCCCCCTTTCAGCCCCCGCTTTTGCGCTTTGGGCTCCTCCGCGCGGGTGTAGGGCGCCATCCGCTTCTTCAGCGCCGCCTCGCGGCCCGAGAAGCAGCGCGGCACCGGCGCCAGGTCCTCGGGGCTCGTCAGCACCCGCTGGAACCTCGGCATCGAAGGACAACCCGTGGAACCTGACTGAGGCGTCCTCCGCTCTGAGGGACCTCTGGGCGCTCTTAAGGCGCAAGGCATGGCAAACCGGGGTTGGAGTAGCCAAAGTTTTTGGGGCTTTCAGCCAAAGCAACCAAACCGTGGTGAAAATAAGACCCAAAACCTGATGCCAGAGCTGTGGGAATTCCCATCACCCAGCGGATTCCCGCGGCTCACAGACTTGAGTTCACGCCCCCCCTTCCATCTCCCGAACACGGCGCAAGACCCGAACTGCGGCCGCGGGGACTTGAGGACTTTCTCTTTGAACCAACCTGAAAAAGGTTCCAGCTCAAAAAGCAAGAACAAAAGACTCCCTTTGAACTTGACACCAACCTGAAAGAGGTCCCAACTCAAAACAAAAACAAAACAAAAAAACTGGGGCTGTGCCGGATTTCTTCCTCGCCGCGTTTTTTTTGTCTCTTCCCCTCCGAGGTGCGGCTGGAAGGGCGGCACCGGCGGCAGCGGGCTCCGCTGCAAGATCTTCACCCCGGAGATGCGGACCTCGCGGTTGCTGTGGAGCTGGGCCAAGCACTGCCGGGTCCGCGCCTCCACTCGGGCGAAATGGTGTTTTTGCAGCGCGAGAAAAAAACGCCGGGAGCCTGGTACGGCAAAGTAACGGAAGGAACCCAAAAGGGGGGGGTCCATTTACCAGAACAGTTGTCTCTACTAATGCACGTTTTTTTTTCTTTCTTTATTTTCCGGCGCGAGAAAAAAACGCCGGGAGCCTGGTAAAACAAAGTAACGGAAGGAACGCAAAAGGGGGGGGTCCATTTACCAGAACAGTTGTCTCTACTAATGCACGCTTTTTGTTTCTTTCTTTTATTTTCCGGCGCGAGAAAAAAACGCCGGGAGCCTGGTAAAACAAAGTAACGGAAGGAACCCAAAAGGGGGGGGTCCATTTACCAGAACCGTTGTCTCTACTAATGCACGTTGTTTTTTCCCGGCGCGAGAAAAAAAAGCCGGGAGCCTGGTAAAACAAAGTAACGGAAGGAACCCAGCGCAAAACGTCGGGACCCGAAAAAAAGGGAACCCAAACCGAAATCGAATGGACGTTCCTTTTATCTCGGATTCCATTTCCCATTCCCTGCAACTCCACCGACCGCAAGCATAGGTTGCCTTTTGGAAAAATAGATGTGCTTCCCTGGTAAATGGGACAAACCCATCTAAACCAGTCCCATCTATTTTTAGCCAAACTAACCTGAAAAGGACAGCTATGGATTTTAGGCTGGCTGGAGCTGTACTGTGGATGGAAAAGCGAAATCTATCCCACGCACAACGAAATGAAACGGTTTCAACCCAGTCCTTCTTGGTATTTGCAGGGGAATCGAATCATTCGGGGGGTTTCTTAGGTGGTGTGAAATGGAGTTCGTCCGTTCACAGTAGCATCACACATGTGGGGTATGAACCGCAATGGGGATCCTCACGAAGCCACAACACAAGTTGGATGGTTTTCGGGGTCATTCCCTTCCCTGAACATCAAATACCTTGAATCCATCCACGGCATTCCAACTTGGGGCTTCCATGTTGGCTCACAAGTGGTCTTG